GTAGGATCATTATGGGGAATCCTGTATGGGGGTGGAATCTGCACGTGGGGAATCCTTACCGGGAACCCAGTAAGGGGAAACTTCGAATGACGCTATTCGTAAAACCCACCGACTGATATTGTCGTATGACGGTGACCTGTACGTGACCTCCAACTGACATATATTTTGTCACTCAGATTCCATAACACCGGCAGAAAAATTACATTGAAAAAATTTTAAAGGGCTCTATTCGAAAAAACTTGGTACTTACTTTGACGTTACGATGACCTTTCCGTGACCTCAAACTAACATGAGTATTGTCACTCAGATTCCTACAGATCGGCAGAAATAAGCGTTTGAAAAAATGACCTTCGAATGACCATGAGAAATTTAAATGTATCTATTCGGAACACCCACATACTGATATTGTTGTGACTATGACATAATGGTGACCTGTGCGTGACCTCCAGCTGACATAAATTTTGTCACTCAGATTCCAGCAGATCGGCAGAAAAATGCGTTTGAAAAAAATGACTTTCGAAATAACTTAAAAAATTTGAAGGCTTCTACTCCTATAACAGCACTCACTGCAGCCAAATCAACTCACTGCACCTTAAAGTACTCACCTTACGTTAATAAAATCCTGAGAGAAAAAAAATACAAGTCAACCATCCAGACTGCAATGACAAGTCCAGAATCGATCAAACAACCCAAAGAACATTCAAAACAAATCTAATCCCTATGGTTGGCACCCGGGGTGGGCGGGTGCCTATACTTTCGTCTTCAGCGTCATCTTGAGACTTCTCTGCGTAAATTTCGCGTCATAAAGGGCGCCCTGAAGCGAATGTCATAACATTCATCACCTTATTACGACATCGACGTCAGGCGTCGCGTCGCTGAACGTCGTTGTCATGCATTGCAATGGCGAAAGAGCCATATTTACAGCAAACAAATCTGATGGCATTGGAAAAGAAACTACTATACTGATGCCTAGCGTCTTTTCGCATTTGCCGACGCCATGACAAATCGCCTTTAACTGACCTAAGCCCTTGGGCATAATTTGGAGGGATGCCAGAATGTCGCCGTCTGTCGTTGCGACGCCTCACATCATGACGTCTCGAAACGACGCCGGTTTATCGCAATAAGTTTCCATATGACGTTGAAAAGGAAACTAGATATCTGAAGCTTGCGTCTCGAGGTTAAAACAAAAAATATTTAATTAACTTTATTTTCAAATACTTCAAAAAAATTTGATTTTGTGCGTTTTTTATACAATTTCCAGCATTTTTCGATTTTTAAAAAATCGAAAATTTTGAAGTGATCCTTACCATTATCGATCTCTGCCAGACCCGTTCTCAGCTACCCTTGCTCTCTGTCTCACCGGGCATCTGCTCAACCGTTCTCTGACAGACACGGTCTGTGCATCACCGGAAAATGCTGGAAACTGTCTAAAATGCGCCTAAAATCTTAATTTTTTTATATATTTGAAAACAAAATTTAATTTAAAAATTTTCAAATTCTTTTCGTTTTTTGAAAATCTGAACTTTTTATTCAGTTCTCCCGTCAGAAACGGTCTCCGCCAGACCTGGTCTTTCACGTACCCGATCTCTAACGGACCTGCGCTCTGCGAGACCTCTCTGTATGAAACTATCTCTGCCGCTCCGTCTCCGTAATGAACGGTTACAGCTGAGAACGGGTGAGGTAGTGACAAGGCCGGCAGAGAACGGGAGACGTAGACATCGTGTGGATGGAAGACACCGGGTGAAGAAGCAGACGCCATGAGACAGAGAGCGTTCGTGGCTGAGAACGGGTCTGGCAGAGATCAATAATGGTTAGGATCAGTTCAAAATTTTCAAAAAATGCAGGATTGTCCAAAAAGCGCACAAAACAGAGAATTTTTTTAAAAATTTCACTTTCAAAAAATTTTCAAATATTTCAAAATAATTTCGTTTTGTGCGCTTTTTAGACAATTTCCTGCATTTTTGATTTTTCGAAAATTTTGAAACAGACTCCGTGAATGCCTCATTCTGTCTGTGCCGGAGTCGGCCTCTACCTCACCCGGTTGCTGCCTGCCTCGGTGTCTGCCGCAACCGTTATGTGCAGTGACGTCACGTGAAAGACCGTGTCAAACAGAGACCGAGTCATTCACAGACCGCGTTCGTCAGACACACAGTACATCAGAGACAGTAAGACAGAGACCGGTTCTGCCAGGCATCTGGTGGGGTGAATTTTGAAAAATTTGAAACTCTTCAAAAAATTAAAAAAATTCTGGAAATAGTCCGAAGAGCGCACAAAACTAACAAATTTTGAAAAATTTCAACCTCAAAAAAATTTCAAATATTTCAAAAATTCTTCTGTTTGGCGGCGGTAACCAACGATAGGTTTTGTGATGAGCATCAACACTCAAGAACAGGACATTTCTTGAACAACTCAGAGACTGCTTATGGAAGACCTTTATTGGATGAAAACTAATTAGGCATGTTTGGAGAAAATAACTTTAATTCATACATGCACAACTGGAATGATTCAAAAACAATACTAGTGCTTTCAAACATGATGTTAATCACTTCATAAAATTTCTTAAATGTAAACCTGTCGCACATCCACTTCGATTCATTATCACAGTGTAATATATTCCTTATTTTCAATTACATACCCATTACTTCCAGTTTTAAAAATGCAGTATGTGTAAGAGTCAAATAGGTACGATATATAGCTATAAAATATATAAATTATTTTCATTAGTTAATTTTCTACTGGAAGACGGATATTATTGTAAACATTATTGGCAATGATGGCTGTCATCTGGATTGTTGTGCCATTTCCTCTGGTAGAAGTTTACAAACCTGTCAGAAGTGCTTGCTGCCTCTATCATCAGGGTGACGATGATGGAGGTAGCAAGTACGTATGAAACAGTAAACTACTAGCAGACTAAATGGTGCAAGACCCCAGAAGACAGCCAACTTCATACTTTGTCACATAACAATTGGTAAGTCTTGCTACCATGTAGTCCACTCAATAAAATACTCTAATCTAGAAACCTAAACTATCCGTGCTTAAATTCGGAGATTACAGGTTCCAAAAGAAATATTCTTAAAATGTTAATCCTTTGTATTTCATTAATTTGCTATTCCAAAACTAGCAGCAGAAATTGCAGACTTCAGACAGATGGCATGTGACTGCAGAAACCATTCTTTCGTATCTAAAATATATACTTAACTAGTTTACTATTGACCTACGTGCACACACTGAACATCATGGTTAGGTTGCTTCGTATTTGGCAAGTTCCAGATTCAGATCTTAACCTAGAGGCCTGTTATCCTGACCAAGGTATAGCGTGATGTTTTTCAGTCACTTCAGGAGTATTTCATGATACTACCACTTCATTATTCACTAATTATCCAATCTTTCAATGCTATATAAATTGACCTGCATAAATAAATTAATTAATAAATACATATTATGAATATTTATTCCTTACTGGTTACTGTAAGAAAAAAACTTTGCATTAACTGATCACAAATTAAAAATTAAAAATGCTCTGTTCAGTCATGTTTAAAAGTACAGTTGGGTTTGGAATAATGTTTGATAAGAAGTGTATTTATTGTCTGCCCATCTATATATATTCAAGAGATCAGATTCCCTTATATTTTATGCCCTAATTAATGGAATATCAATAATTTAATTTCAACATCAAAGTTAACACTTTTCAAATAAAGGTCAGTGCCAAGAGAAAGGAGGTGGGGGCAACCATTCAAATTATTTCAATGAAACTACAAATGCCCACTTTCTCACCTTAATTACGGTGATAATTATAAAAATAATAATTGCAGATCTTTGACAGAAGACCACGAAAGAATGGAAAGAAAACCGGTATTTAAGCGGAGCTTTTGCAGTGACTCAAGTTGATGAAAGATTGGCTGAATGGTAAATACACCATACAGGATATGGTGCATTCACCATTCAGGATACCTGCCCTATGGGCTGAGACTTGAACCCAAAAACTCCCAAATAGAAAGCACAGTAGCTAATCACTTGATTGTGATGTTTGGTAAAAATTAATGTCAACATATAATGTATAAATGAAAGAACTGGAAAAAACACGGCCCTCGACCATTCTCGATCAGGCCCACGATGATGAACGTACAAACAAAAGTGTAACAAAATATGAGTGGTTCAAAACCAGTCATGTGTCTGCAGTATTAACCATAACACTGGCAAATCTATTTAACAGTTGCATAGGTCAGTATCATCTTCATTAAAATGCATAAACTTGTATAATGAAGTTTTACAACATTTTTACCTTTTCTTTTCACAGTAAAAAAATGTAAATATATTAGCTCAGCTGTTCTCACATCCAAGTCAGATGCTGTCTCACACTGCCAAAATGTCAATATCACAAAAGTTGTAGAATAAAGCTGTGTTTACACCAGATGTTTTATGTAACTAGTTGGGTAATTAATAACAAAACAGTAACACAAAATGCAGTGTCACTCCCTCATTCACGCTTGCCATCAGGAGTGCCACGTTGGAGACTTAACAAATCAAGAAATATCTCCTATGAGATTTATATGGTCAGGAAACATAAAAATATTCCTCCTCCTAACTTTACTTTACTTCCTAATGGACATCGACACAATTCTCCAAATGGCAGGTTCTGGTTGAACTTCAGATTACTTTGATCCATCCTGGAGAGACTTTGTAGTCTTCTATCAAACACTGGCGAGTTATTAATGCTGCCGTTTCAGGTACATGAGTGAGAAACGCACTGAAAGGTTGAGGGGTGTGAAAAAGAAACATTGCAACTTCCAGGCCTACACAGTTTTCCTTCATCAAAATGCCATACAAATGTACGTTTTCTGATGCGCGTTAAACATTATCAGCACTCTTAAAATAACGTGCTTCATAATGTTAGTTTGTGACAGAAAAATTTACCTGCCACTTGAAGACAGTATGTACATAGCACATATATATAAAATTATTTTCAGTAAAACTAATTAATGTTCTCACCCTCAGGGAAATACATACTTATAGATGTTTCAGAACAAAGTGTTGAGAATTTTTGGACATGAGAGGAAATAAGAAGATAATAACATGATTTTTACTGATGCAGTCAGTAGCTCAGATATTACAGCAATCTAATAATAGGACAATTAATAAATGAATTGGAAAGGAATGACCATGACTTAATTTAAGGTACTATCCTGGCATCTGTCTGGATGGACTGAGAAAAACATTAAAAAAACTGTCAGGATAACCAATCTCTGGACCAAGATTTTATCCCAGGACCTACTGAATATTAAGCACAAGTCTGTGGAAAGAATTAGATGATACGGAGCTCTATACATGCTATTCCTCACTTAATATTCTTACCATAAATCAAGGATGAGATAAGTGGGGCATGTAGCACACATGTGGGAAATGTCAAATGCATACAAAAGTACAGCAGAACAAACCAGTTGGGTGTATATGTGTGTGGATGGGATTCAACAGGATTCAGGTTGTTTTCTGAATATGCTTCAGACTCCATAAAAGCAGCAAATTTCTTGATCAGCCGAGGGACATAAAAATGTAATCTCAGGAGTTAATCATAAAATAATTTATGTAATAATGTCACTGAAATATAAATGCATAAAATTTAAAATACTCAAATAAGGCCTCAACTTAATCCAGGGACTGACAAAATTCAATTTCCAACAAGTGTCACAAAAAGACACCTTTTATCATCCTACCAACTGTAAAATGACATGGAACGCTTAACAGAAAAACAGGGCAGGTTCTATTTGCGAAAAGTTAAGTAACACTATACTATATATACCTCACACAGTAAAATAATGTCATTATGAGTGCATTAAATCATACGTTTGTCAAAAACATTTCATCCAACTAGAGGCATGAAATATTTGAGTGTAAACACAGCTGAAGTATTGCAGTATGTTTCTGCAAATAAATAGTACAAAACATAAACTGCCTGTAAATATTCAATGGTAATGTAAAACTATAAACATAGTAATCAACCATTTACCGGTACGGCAGATTCTCAACCCCCCCAACACTTACAGCTACGAATTCTCTCTCCATCTGTTTCTGAATTAGTCATGTTCAATGCACATAACAAGTTAGTGTCAATGTGACTGCCTAAGTTTATAAAATCCCCACATGGGACAGTCCTATTGAAGGTCACATTCATATTTATTTCAGATTCGCTGATACATAGAACACAATTTAAATATCTCACCAAATGACAGACATGGCATATAGTTATGGAAAACGACATTCTTACGACAGAAAGTATAGTTCACCGAGAATGATAGTTTCAATAGAGAGAAATTAAAGAGTATTTAAGTCTAAAAAACTATATCAAGTGAAATACAATATGTTTACACTACAAGATGGTAAAGGCTTATAATAATTTAGCATGAATGTTGGAATCGTTCATTTTTGTCCACTCATTATAAGGGATGCATTATTCCCTAGATTTATTATACAGTACGTTCCATAACGGTTTTCCTATTATGAAAGTAATTGACCCTTACAATGTCAGCTTCAATAAAAATCCCTGCTTAGTAATAATAAAATCTCAGCATTAACTAAACTGATCCCGAATAATCTGCATGCTGGTGCGCTGCTACCTCCATCACCAGGGTGAAATGCTGGTAAACTTCTACCAGACTACACAGAGCTACAATGCAGAAAACTGTCATCAAATAAAATTGTAGCTGTCAAATTAAAAACTGGACTCATTTCAGGGAGGGAAAAAAAACAACTGATAGATAAAATTTGGTTCCACTACAGATTCAACAAACATAATATCACAGTTTTGTTCAAACAGGGTTACTAAAGACTGCCACTCACTAAACGGTTAAAACCATAACTAAAAATATAAATGCGATCTAAAATCTTGAAGCCATCCTCTGAGATCTCACTGACATGTGTGCACAATCCAGCCCACTGATACTCAATGGCAATGATAAGGAGCATCATAATTTGTACTCTTCACTAAACAGTTAGGGAGATTAAATCGAGGAGGATGAAATAGAAGGGAAGGCCACTTAGCACAAATGTACCCAAATGCATAACTAACTACATGGAGTTAAGTCCTTCTTGTGAAGCCAACAGTTGCCCAGCTCGTCAAGAAATTCCCCACCTTTTGTGGAAGCAGAGGGTTCCTTACTATGTTTGCAAAAGCCAGCCAGCAGCCATTAGCCTCAGCCACACAAATCTAACGTACACCCATTTCCTTACGATCAATTTCAATATTAACCTCCCATCTATGCCTATGTCTTCTGAGCTGTTTTCTCCTTTTAGGCTTCACAACAAAAATTTTGTACGCATTTCACATCTCTCTCTTCCGCAGTACATGGCCCTACCTGGTATGGTCTGAAGGTAAGCTCTTCTGAACACAGTAATGAACTTTCAGTTTATATACGAGCAGGAAATTTCTTTACCAGCTGAGTAACGACTCTTCAAGGGAAGACCCTATGCTTGTGTGCAGACTTTGTTTTTGTATTACAGAGGATTTCAGCCACTTCTGCACTTACATAAGAAAAATTAATTCCTCAAGTTAGGATAATTTTACAAACCTCCCAAACAAAAGAACATGCTAGTGGCTGCTACTGCCTGTAAACAAGTCTAATCAAACTTAGACTAAAAGGAAAATAATGTAATTCTTCATATTTAATTAAAATGTTGACTATGATACTGACTTGCTAATCATTTTAATACAGGTACTGAATACAATGGAACAGTAAACATGTCAGTAAAAACTAGAAATTGCCATAAATCCCATTTCTTTATGTAGCTTAGTCATATTTTTTACTTCCATTCAAAATAGGAAATGCCATTTTGGGACATTCTCCTTAATATCTGCTGCATATTTTGGGACAAAGAAGCCAATACAAAAAGAGTAAAATGTAAAACTATCATTCCTCTGAGATTCCTTCTCATTTTCATCAAGGAGGAAACAGCTGCCTGTCTGGATGACATTCCAGATCTTGTTTCTATATTGTAAAAGTAGAGTAGGCTATGCAATATATTATTAGACTGTTACAGTATTTCAGCTGAAACACAGGTTCTCTGCTTTTCCTTACCGTTCAAAAGATGAAATCTTGTAGAAACATTTCATTCCCAATCTATTAATTTATAGCCACTATTGCACTATGTATTCCTTATAGCCCCGTAAAGCTTTCAGCTGCTTCTTTAGCTGCTTTATTAGATCGAACGGTTGAACAAGAATGGATATTTCTTTTCCTACCGCATTTAAACGATCCCTTACTTCACCATCCTTGAAGAACAGATTAAGTGGCCGCCCGTTGATTTCGGTGATTACCCAATTGGTCAGCGAGAGCCCATCGCACGTCTGCGCTCGAGGAGTCAGACCGTGAGAAGCCGCAAGTCCTCCTGGAATGACATCGCGTATTTCTGCCGTATTTCCTTCTTGTAAGATTCCCAAACTTTGGCCTTCCACTTCTCGACAGATTGCAAACACGCGTCCGAATGGAACTCGACGTATCACAAATTCAACCTGCCGCAAAATATATTCTTAATCAAGAACACATTACAAACTAACAGAGAAAATCTCAGGAAAAACCTCTGTAATACTCTCCTTGACATTGAACACATTATGAAGTTTTCACAGTGAACACTCCACATTGCGTTGTCTTCCGGGTAATGAAACGTGCCAAGAGATAAAAATACTATCCATGTTTTGGAGGAGACTGCTGTTTTCTCTTTCACAGGCAAGGAGACTTGAACTTTTATTCCTTGACATGGCACTACATCCAGAAACTGCTACAACAGGTTTAATCACAATCTCTTACTTTCCCAACATATTCTTTTTAATCTGGAAGCTAGACAGACATTATGGAGACATTTGCCTTAATAAAAGTATGCCATTGTACTTTGTTAAAGCTGGCTAGAACAGGTTATTGCTGTAATAACCCACTTTCAGTACGGTATGGTACGCTAGCACAAAAATTTATAATTTCAGATAAATGTCCTGAATATACTACATATATTAATTACTTACATAAAGACTTGTGGCACCTCGAATCAACTTCTGTGCATCAGATGCACTCTGAACCATAATACTTGCAATACTCAATAGTTGATCCCCAATGTGGAGGGCATTGTACAGCATCGGACGCTCCCTTTGTTTCCAGCCGGTAATCCTACGATTAAAAAAAACAAAAAAAAACTCAACTTTCAAAACCAGCACTAAAAAATTAATCTAAAAACATATAAAATTACCTTCTACTGAGCTGAAATAAGTGATGTATTCTGACAAGTCTCTACTTGTTGTCTGTACAACATAAGTTCAGTTTGAAATTTGCAATAAGGCAATTCCTTATATCAGCTTTGTCACGTTTGAATATGGACTTATTGGTCTAAACATCTATTTTTCATCACAAAAGAAGGAAAGAGGGAAAAATAAATTCATGAGCAGACGGTGACAGTGTCCAGCGACACCGCACCTTCACAATAACGAGTGGAATTTTGATACGAGCAATTCATGACTTCTCCCTGCCATTCCATTGCAATTGATGTACTACGTATTACGCGTCATGTCTGTGCCCATTTAAATACCTACTCAAGGGAGCATGGTTTGAAAGCATTAACGCAAACCAAACTGGCTTTTGCATAATAAATACTCTTCTGGTTATTCAACAACACTTTTTCAAAGCACAAGTTATATACAGTGTTAAATGGTAGAGTGACCATGAATAATGAAATGGAAAGGGTATGAAAGGAACAGGTATATATGTATGAGTGCGTGTGTGTGTCTGTGCGTGCGTGTGTATGTATGTGGGAGACGGAAAGAGTACGCGCTTACGTTCAATTTCATGAGTTACAGATTCATGCTATATATATATATACCATTGTACACATTTACAGAGTCCTTTTTTTCATTTACAAGCAATCAACTCGAGTCTTCTTCCTAATATTCTGATTTATAAGAATTCTCACAACCAGGGAAAATACAAGTACACATAACAGATATCCAAGCTGATATATCTTTTGTGTTCCTGTCTTTCTATTCAGTTAAAATATTAAACAGTTTTTGATTTGTCAGAGGTAATTTATGTTGATTTTTCTCAGGACCTGAAAAATGTTGTCAATCCGGGTTGTGTTTTGGCAAGGTTGTATGCCAGACAGTTTAAAAAGAATGGACAGATAGATAAGTTAATGAATATTATATAGGGTTATGCACTATTTCAAAACATGCTCACAAAAAACAAACAGCATGTCTATACATACCATACTGCACCAAATGCATCCACTAGAGCCACAGAACCAGTACAATCTTTACGTCGCAGTTGAAGACGAACGCCACCGGGATGCAGCATCTCTCTGCGTAACTGAAGTACCTGTTGCTCTCTAAGTGTGAGACGTCCTGAACCCAGTACTTCTACATTTACACCAGGAGATGCTTGCTGCAACACAGGCACAAATAAACATCTTCACATTCTCAATAAAAAAATATCAGTTTGTAAAATATAAAATGTGAAGTGTTCATAAAGACAATAAACACAATGAACCACGTAAGAGACCATCTTCATTATCAGAGACTGAAGTAAGAAGTGGCACAATTAATCCATACGGATACATACACGTGAAGATATAACAGACCTTCGTTTGCAATGGCCATGAACTCGGCAAAGGAGACAAGAATGGGAAAAAGAGGTCGATCATCACGCAGATGATCCACCTCAGTGTTAGCCTGAATGCAACAGTGAGTAAACATTTAATCCTATTAGACTGTATACAAAACATATCTACAGTATCTCTCAAATGTCTGCAAATGAATGAATTTACTAAGAGCTGAAACCGCTTTATTTTTCTTCTGTGGGCTAACAATAATAAATACCATAATTGTGATTATGAAGTCTAAATTAAATTCATCTTTAATTTAACAATATGTATTAAACACAAATGTTCTATCTAAAAAAAGCAATAAAAAATAACGCTAATTTATTGTCCCCACTTGATCCACGTATCTTATCCATCTCATTCCTTGAGATGATCATCCTACTTGATAAATAATACATACTGTAATATGATACAAATTGCACATCCAGTGCAGAAAGAATCATTAAGTAACCAAACAACAAAAACTGGAGTTCATATTATATTCTGGAATGCAATATGATAACTCCTGCAACTAATGCTGTAGTTGCATACCTGTGCTTGTCGATAGGGATGAGGAGCAGGTTGCAGTCTCCTCCCTACATCAACCCTTTGCGTGGCGGCTCGGTTTCTCTCCGCACCAGTCACGGCTGCAACGCGAACCACGCGAGAGATACCCGACGACGACGCGGTTTCCGAAGTCGAGGAACTCCTGCGTCTTCTCCTCTGCTGAATGTCGGTAAAGGCTGGGACAGTGGCAATAACTGATTCTTGAACTCTCACCTCCGTAACAGTATTACCTGGAAACAGACTTCTGACCGAAGACGTCTCAGCAGGTCCTGGTGCCACGTCTACTACCTCGCTTCCCAGACGGCTTCCAGCAACAGAATTACTGGCAATGCTGATATGAGAATCTAATGATTGAGGGGACTGAGTTTCATTTGGAAGGAACACACATTCATAATAGCTACTGCCAGAATCAGTGACTTCCATTTGACCATTACCGATGCTACTTGTCAAGTCGCAATCTGTGGTCACACTTGGAGGCACTTGATGCCGCATCTCTGTCGTTCTAGCTGGTGTTACAGGGGGTGTGTAGAAATTATCACTGAATTCAAGTTCTTCTCTGAAATCCAAGTTTTCATGGAATGTGGAACTGCCAGTTGGTACCGCATGCGGTACCGATGGCAGAGCATCCTCGATAAAGTTAAAGTTAAAAACTCCTTCGTAGTCCAATGGAATGGCTGAATGAGGGACACGCTGACTGTCGCTTACTTCAATGACTGTAACATTCGTATCACCACGACTGGGTTCTCTTGACATTAACGAAGAAATGAGAACTGGAGATTCAGGAAAAGAAGCCGCTCTGCTCAAAACTGCATGAGGCCTGTGAACAGAAAACAGAATAATGCAAATAGAGATGCCTAAGCAGCAGAGGTAAAGTCTCAGAACAAGAAGTTAATTTAGTAATGGATTATTAAACAATTCTGTCAATAGCTCAAATATGGCATTGAATGAAAGGCTGTTTACTGTATAAATGGAAAGGATGTGGAACGAATAATTTAAAGCACTATCCCATCATCTGACTAGAATGACTGAAAAAACCATAAAAATGTGTCAGGATAGCTAGTCTCTAAATTTCAACATGGGACTTCCAAAAATATGAAGTGCGAATGCTAACCACTTGACTGCAACATCTAGTAATAAGAAATTGATACTTCCATTTCAGAACAATTCATGCAATGCCCTCAGTGGACAGGGAAGTACAATATGGTAAAAATTAACACATAGCACGATTTGCTAACATAGACAGTATATAGTAAAAGCTTGCTAAGAAGCTCCAAGAAAATAGCCTCATTACTCACCTTACTTTATGACAATCTCCTCTCAAAGAGCAATTAAAATACTATATTCCATCACATATTCACACATGCCATTTTTCAAAATCTGACCTACGATTTGTGTGGTTGATAATGCCAAAAATTTATGAAAATAGTTCACAATGTATTTGTCTCATCCGTAAAAATGAAACACTTTTTTTCAAAAAACCAGGAGGGCAATATATGGGGTTAACTGATAACGTAGCCTGCTAGAAGTTTACTGACATTTCAGACGCCCTTGCTGCCTCCATCATCAGGGTGATGAATCGCTGTGCAACCACCCAGAAGTCAGCCATCTTCATATTACATCTTATAAGGTTCCTGATATCAGCATCGCTAGATGAAGATGGTTAACCCATGCAGTCCAAAGGAAAAGCATTAGAATTTTAAGACAATCCACTGTTGATGTTTACTTTGATACGTCGTTTAACTCGACCCGGCTTATTACCTGGTGTAGACCGAGGGCTCCGACTGTGTGATGTAGAGTGATGTTGTAGGAGTTCTGATTTGTAGGCTTACACTGTCAAACCCTGGGGGCTGTGTTGGTGGTACATTTTCATCTGAAAAAGATTCTGCACTGTTGGTTGCCTCAACAGATCCTACTGAGCTGGAACTGCTGTCTGCTGAATACATAAAAAATATAATGCACTAGCAATATCAGAGAAGTCACCAAAAATAGCAGTTAATGCTTCCGGACACAAGTGGAGAACATATTTTGTTCTTCTTTTTGATGAAAAGGGTAAAGTTTTGGGTCTGGCCTTTCTGCCATGTGTGTTCACAGTATCCGTTGCTGCTTCTCTTATTGGTCAGCTATAGCAATGTTTCAGCAACATCTTTGAGTGAAGTTTAGTTACCTACATTAATATAAATTAATCTATAGATGAGTAGGAGGAATTCTATGCCTACATTTTAAGGCACCATTTGTCTGGAGGCACAGAATACAACAAAAAATCTCAGACAAGACATGAAATGGATATTTACCCAAGTGTGAGCCACGTGCATTATCATCGTCCTAACTTCCTTGGTAACTTCCCATTCGGTGCGAAATAACCTCAAACTTGATGCAGAATGATTCCTCACCTGAACTCTCTGAGTGTACACGTTCCACACCTGGAACTACTACTGACGGCCCAGCAGGTGGGGGAGGAAGCGGAGAATTGGGGTCTCGCGTGGGAGCTAGTGGCAATCGTGCCTCGGGCATTCTCGTGTACAGATTCTCTCTTGGTGACAGGATTCGCATCTCTCGTAACTTTGTTCTAATTGTATCTACCCACTCCATCATCAGCTCCCTGCAAGAGTATTATCTTCATATGGCATATCTGACATAATACAAAAAGAAATAAAGAAGGAAACTGCTTAAATTTTACAGTTGTCTCTGTACAAAAACAAAATGGAGAAATAAATAGATCACATGAACAACACAGAATTTTCCAAAAAAACTAGTCAATAGCTGTGGCATGCTTCCAAAGGTAAAAAAAATTCTGGGCTCCCAGCAGACTTGGATATGCCACAAAAACGCAATGACATCTTCATCTAATTAAGTATGCCTTAACAAGATAATGTTCTATGACATTTTAGAATAATTCTTACCAAGACGGTGCAGTAAACCGCACTACATCTGAGTTCAGTGTAACTACAAATTCATATTCCTCCTCTTGGGCATAAATGGTAGGAGAAACATGTAAACAGTTGTTGAGCGACACACACCAGTCAGGTCTGTGCATGACTGCCACCTTCTGATCCACATAAACTTCTATGAATGGTTCTGCATCATCATGAACACAGAAGACAACCCAAACACGGTCCCCTTTCTGAGAAAGTAAACATTCAATAATACAAAACTTTAATTCATGAACATACAGGAATACAAATCAGGCGAACTAATCACTACACCATGAGACTACCTATACATTTTGTCTAATGCACTTTTTATTTCAGTGAATACTATAATATTCTTACAAAATAATTTTAATCATATTAAAGTGAAGCTCTAACCTGTCCAATATGATCGTAAGGCAACACTTCTGGCTTCAGTAAATATGTCAAAATATTAAATTTCAAAAAAATATTCAAACTATACCACATCTGATAGACTGAAAATGTCCATGTTTGCAATTCAAATGCCTCCTGAAGGACTGCATATTATATTTATGCGCATTGGACGAGGCAGTGTACAGTAACACAACTGAGGGAACTGAAAGAGCACAAATATCAATACAATGTATGGCCAGTTTCTTGGGAGAAATTTTGAACAAAAATAGTGTACATTATATTTGGAAAAATACAATATAAAGAACACATTTTTAAAGTTAATGTCATTACACTGAGGCTCTTTTTTATTATGTTGCCCCACAATCCTTATGTTACAGGGAAACACTAAAAGTCTAGCCTACACATCACTAGTGCATCCAATTTTGGAATATGGCGCGGCGTGCTGGGATCCTTAGAGGAAGGGGAAGATAAATGAGTTAGAACGGGTGCAAAAGAAACCAGGTAAATTTGCATATCATAGGAGAGATTCGAACTGGGAAACCCTGGCACAGCGTAGAAAGATGGCACATATAGTTGCTCTCTTCAAAGCGTACACGGGAGAAAGGGCATGGAAGGCTATAGGTGACAGATTACAAAGGCCATACTATCTGAGCAGGATCGATCATATTCGAAAAATTAGGAGCAGAGAGCAAAGGACAGATATCGGAAAATATTCCTCTGTAAATAGGACCATCCGACTCTGGAACCAGCTACCTGCGGATGTTTTAGGGACTCTCTCCTGTAAACCAAGTACTTTCAGGAAGAAGGTTAGAAAAGTGATAAATGAGGTGAAGAGAAGGTCCTGATGAAATGTGAGTGCATCAGTTCATGACATATGTAATTCATTACTGTTACTCTCTTATGTCTAGTTGGTATTAATTTTTAAGTTATCTACTTTAGGTTATCTGTTGTGTTTAAATACTTGTGTTTTTATTTTGTGTAAGGTGTGTGCCTCATGGTTTTGTAATTTTATGAGTTGTTTTATTTTGAGTGTGGTGTATTATGTTGTGTGATGTGCGTTGTTTTGTTCGTCTCATTGTAGCACCACTGCCGCCTGGTAAAAACCCATTTGCAGTTAATAACAATAGTAATAATATTCTATCAATGCCCAGCACTGGCTAGGCATAGATTAGAGATCTTCCAAACATATATTAGGAGGGTCTCCATTAGGTTGATTTTAGCTCTAGCAGTGCAGCCAGGGTTGTCTCAAGAGCCCAAACAAGTTCAGGGGTGACAATGAACCTATCAGTGGTCCAATTGTCTAAGGTGACTGAAGTTGTCCCTACTAGATCAATACCAATAAGTATCAGAAATCACACCTTTGGAAAAGACCCCGTGGCTTTCCTATCTGTAGATGGTAATCTTTTAAGCCACGCATTTTTATGAATCTCACGGAACAGAACGCTGCCAATCTGGGGTGTAGACGTGTCTTCAGCTCTGGAAGTGGAATTCACTTCACCTGCAATATGATACGGAATATAATCAGAAGACCGGCAAGTCTGACAACGGACTTGGACAGAATGGCATATACTCCATATTCTAGTACAATAGTCACAACTTGGGTTACCACATTCTCTTATCACCTACATTTGACATTCGTACTAGCTTGAAGCTGGCTGACACCTTCATTGTTATATAAGGTATATGCAACTCTTTTCAGATTTTCTTATTCAAAGTTATGTTACTAAATGTAGAAATAATCCACAACATTTTATTACTAATATAATATACTAGTATGGAAGCCTAAAGAATTAAAAGTTGCATAATTATTTGCCTTTAGCATTATGATGATGAAATTATAAGTGTACTGAATTATATCTGAGAAAAGAAATTAAAGCATTACCATGAGCTGTGTGCTGGGCTGGTGCCTGAGAACCCCTTGGCTGATCCATCAGCTTCAGTTTAACCTACTTTATTGCACACATGCACAGCCTTTGACAGCAGGCATTCTACAAAAATTTGAAAATAAATGTACAAATGTGAGACAGGTAAACGATGAAGAACAAAACAAACATACTTATTACCAACTTCAATCATAACTCTAGAAACACGCCTACTGCACTGGTTAGTTGCAACCTTAAAATATACAAATTGCACAACCTATTTCAGACAGCAATCATATAAAAGTGAGACTTGACATTCTCACAGCAGTAAAGATGTTCATGGCAGTTTCATGGTCGTGACAACATAAGCAGGTACTATAACCGTTCCACCTTCTCAAACTGATTTACAATGCTGCTCAGGGTGTTCATCTCAAGGGTCGCTTAGTGGGCCGTTGATCGAAGACAGCTCACACAGTTAGATGGTCAGTTCTGAAGTTCAAACATTTCTAATAAAGAATACAGATCATGTATAGCAAAGCTTCTCCTGCACTGTCATCTACTTTATTAAATCATTTAAAACAGAGCCTTCACTCTAGGCTGTACACCTGTATTCACACAAAACTCTACAGATGTGTCAATTTCAATACGCACGCACCATGTCTACTCTCTTAAAGGCGACTCCACAATACTAAAATTGAGAAAATAATATCATGACTTGCCTTCCATCAGAAGAATAACTAAAGTACAAAAACACTTCAGAAGAATTAACAATTGGGATCTGTGAAACTCCTTAATCTTTGAAGTCATAAATCACAAACAGATGCCAGATATCACCAACAATAGAATCCAGAAATCATAAACCACCACAGGTCACAAGTAATGAATGTCAAACTGATATAAGCCGTAAAATACCAACGACAGAAGTGGATTGTGCACGCTGACATCAAAGTAAGGTTTGCCTGGTTACAGTACCAACATTTTAGGGAACATATCACCTTCATTTTCAAGGCAAATATGTTCTTCCAAAATGTTGATATTACTTGTATGATGAAGGAATGCAATAAAGGTTTCACACAACAGTCATACTGCCAGGCAACAAGCTGATAAGCTGCACATACAGCTACCTGACCTTGCACCCAAGTACTGATGAAAACAAACACTTGCGCCTTCAAAGAAAAGCACACTCCCTGCTCAGCGAGACCATATGGCATCACAACCCATAAGATCATAGCTGACATTTTCTCTTCTGTGAAAACCTCAAGTCTCAAAGTCAGAAGTTATAATATCTACTTTTCTTCAAATTCTTTCATCAGTATGGTGAGGATAGTAGATAATATAAACTCAAAACAATCAGATAAATTTTCACGTACAATTTCCACTAGTACACTCCCAGTAGGATACATTTGTAAGACATAAACTCAAAGTTTTGTACCGTCACCATTTGCATGTACGTTTATTATCTATTTCCTTCCAGCTACCGCAACCAAACTGATAACTACATACAGATTTGTTGTAAATTTCATTCAACAAAAGAACAACCTTCACAAACATTACATATTTTTACTAATATAATATCAAGATCCTACAGTAAGTGGTGATCATGTCACTTCAACCTCAAATCTACACATTGCTGCTATGTTGCTACAACACTAGAATGGACCATATTGGTAGATGTTTATTCATTTCTTGACATGACTGTACAAGTACAATAAACATGTTCTCTTAAGACCAAGGTAATTTTGCATGGGGATTATCAACTGTAAGTTTCAGTTTACATATTAAATTTTCCAAACTCTCTACCTAGCAGTCAGTGAAATTACAGTATCTGGATTACCAATTCTTTTATTAGGTTAATAAACATCATATGCCCATGCACCTTTCCTCTGCCAGTGGTATATGCTTATTTCCAAATGTTAAGATGCAATGGAATATACTGTCACAACACTAGCACCCAAAAGTTATTTATTTACTTCACTAGAAAATTATGAAGTACTGCAAATATTTATGTACATAGCTGTAATAAGTACGGAATTACAATTCAATACTGTGACATGTTCCACATCCTGGCTTGTACTATGGTGGATCTATGGAATGTAGATAAATTCTACATGTAATTGGCTAATAATATTACGCCTGTCAAACGAAGTACGCGAATTACATAAATACAACGCTACTTACAGTTTATACTCTCATTTTAACAGCGGTACATAAAACATAACCATACAATGTGCAACTTTCTACCACATGATTTAATTTACACACACACAAAAACTGTAAGGAGCAAGTTGTCAGTTATGTCGTGAAGATGTCTTACATTTAAACCAGACACGTATAGTACGATCGGACTTGAAAAAAAGTGCATGGACTACTTTGAAGACCTTGAATTACTTGTTTAGAAAAAATTTCTATTTTAAGACACAATATGATGAAAATTTACAAACATTCTTACCCTTCACTGCAACCCACTCATTCACCACGCCATATTAAAGAAAGTTGTTACGAAGTCGAATGTGCTATCTGGTGGTCATATTTAAAAACCCGTTTCAGAACAAATGAGTACACTTGAAATTCTGATGTTGTATGTTTCATTTCGTTTCATCTGTGTTCACAGTATTTGGCAGTACATATCACAAGTGTTTAGCCTGATTAAAAACACTAAAACATGAACCAGAATGCATCCTGCTGGTAACACTTCGAGGGAGCGATGCAATGAGAAATACAGAAATGTTGAAAGTCAAATTCTACCAGACTACACGATGCAACATCCCATTTGTTACTTACTACGTTGAGAACCAGAAATTTCAAATATATGAACCAAATCTAGTATTATCTCTAGTAAAATGCCACACACACCTCTGACAAGTGCCAAAGTTAATGACTGGAACTTTAGCTCTGCTCCACCTTTTAAGGATGTTGGGTCCAAATTGCTATAAAAATTATATATATATGGCAAAAAATTATATTCACTATACAATGTAAATTTCCCTGTTTACTGGACTTAAATCGCCTGTACCTACAGAGCAGATGCAAGGAATGTACTATTGTGGTAGAAAATATTCTATATCTACACACAAACCAAGAGTGTCTCTTCCTTGAAATTTGTTCTTCATGATAACATTCATCACCTGTGTATGATTAATAAAATGGGATAGAACACATTTCTTTCTGTGTGAGAGAGCTGTGATATATTCAAGTATAGCATGTAGCATAATATCAACATTTTTGCTGTCTAAACTGTAGTAACATTTTGCAACTGTGGAAGTGCATGATAGCTGTAACTCCTTGTATGTAGACCTGTGTATTTCATCAAGTTCCTTTTGTGTTAATGATGATGACTGTGCACCTTCAAATTCCACAACAAAAATAAATTACTCTGATCTTCTAATATAGCACTCTGTACTAGACAGTAAATTATTTCACCTACCTTGCTTGAAGTTTCTTGTGCAATGTTTATCATATTAAGACAGCAATAAGTATAAATCTTCTTTCAATATGCTCATCCTATGGAATGGATTTGTGAATTGCAATATGCACTCAATGTCTTACATGAAATAATTAGTGCCATTATATTGTTTTTAGACTTGTATTCACTGTAAGTAAATATATGATTGTTTAATGTTTTATCAGCAAATACAGGTGTTCTACTTCAAGGAAGAGCACACATCTTCCATTATCCTGTTTCCTGCCTTTCTAAAATATCAACATATGTACTAAAGCTTAATAGTCAAGCCAGAGTAACTGTGCAAAAATAATCAACTTGCATTTATATACATGTAATAAATCTATTTAAAGTATATTTAAACTACCTTAAAATAGTAAAGAGATGCAACATTTTTAAGGTATTCAAAAGGTTAATAAACACAACTCTGTCACCGGAACATATAGACAAAGTTAATGTTTAAAAAAACTTCCTTTCTTTCTATTTTAATGCTGCTTTTAACCTGGAAACAGTTTCTTAAATGATAATAAAATAAAACCTCAAACATTCTTATAATAAATTTACTTACATTTATTTACGGTGTATTAAACAACACTGTCAGTATCTCAGGACTACATAGGTTCAAATTATTCTATTTCACTGAAATATAATGGTGAATGAGTCTGAATTTCATTCGCCATTAAATTTTCTCTTCTCTCTATGTGCATTTAAACTAGGTTTTAAGAATAACCTACTGAAATTTCAGTAAGCTATTTACAACTTAAAAGCTCAAAAGTTACTATATCTTAATAATATGTATTGTATTATTATTGGTTTATTCCATATCCTGTTGTCATCTGGCCAACTCATGGTTCCATGGAATGTAATAAAGATGTATAAAATGAAACATAATGAATATATTAAGTGATCTCATAGCAACAAAATATAATAAATGGAAATGGCATAGAAAAAAATTAAAAGTAACAAGTCCTATACCTTGTCAAATCTGAAGAATCTCTTTTTAAACAACAATCAGCATGGGATCTAAGAACTTATTTAGGGACAGACAATAACAATTTTTAAGTACACCACAATGTTGGGCACCATATGACATTTTATAATGATACTAGCAGAAAAGATGTACTGAAAGTGAAATGAAAGTTATTTCATTCAAACCCCTTACCCATTTCTTTCCTTTAGCGATATCATATTCCATTCCGTCCTTTCTCACGTCTTCCTTTTACGCTGCTTCCCACTTAGAACAGTGATGAAATATGTTAGCCATGCTACATACCATGTTATTTCAACATTTTTTATCAATCACCAAAAGCAACATAATAGTAGTAGCAGCACAAGTAAAATCGAATATTCTGTCATCTAGCACCACTACTGAGAACTTACAGAGCTCTATGACACAACCAAACATAAGCAGTTCTGTATATGTAGATATAATAAAAAATGGCAGTTTTCTGTTGACGAAAAGCGTACGTATTCTGCCATTAACAACTGACCTGGAGTACTGTGCATTTAGAACATGTGTACTTTGCCAGTTCATATGCCAGCTGCAGGTCTACTAAAGGACCTCAGTCACTACTGTACAAATTGAGCACAGAGTGTGGATACACTTTATAGTGACTGTCAATATTTTCAATGAATAAATCTTATAATAATTACACACATAAAGAAATTAAGTAGTATACATTTGTATGAAACTAATTACAGCTAATTCACACAGCAGTTTTGACTTCAGATGCCATAAAAAATAAAATGTAAAGTAAAATGGAAATGTACGTCACATGGACAGTTCAGTGTAGTTAAGTTTGTAAGACTTGAGGTTCTCACAGCGGTGAATATGAAGATTTCTGTCTTCTGGGTTGTTGCGCTGTGTAGTCTGGTCGATGTTAACCAACGTTTCAGAGGTCATACTGCCTCCGTCATCAGGGCGATGAATCGCCCTGATGACGGAGGCAGTATGACCTCTGAAACGTTGGTTAACATCGACCAGACTACACAGCGCAACAACCCAGAAGACAGAAATCTTCGTAGTTAAGTTTCATTTCCAAGCTATTAAGCATAAGGTTCAAAGTCCTTGACAGACTGCTGAGTCTGAGTGGTTCCTGAGTATGATATCGAGTTCAATTCGTACGCATAACTGAGGTTATTAAGTTACTGCCACTAAGGGAGAATAATTCTGCTAGTTTCTCTGTTAGAATTTAAGGAAACAAATTCTGAAAACTTATCAGTTTTAAAATCTGGAAGTAAATAAGACATCTCATTACATGCTTTCACAAAACTGCACCAAATAAAAAGCTCAATGATGATGACAATGCTGTCTAGCAAACTGTTAACAGCTCACAGGCCTACCACCCACATGTTTGCCAAAGGACTTGTATTGATGGAACTTACTGTACAAGATGTGGAACAAACTAAAGTCTATCAAACCACACACAAAACAACTCAGACAAATTAATCATCTTCAAGTGCCCTATATAATCAGTGGACAATTACAGTGCTTAAGCCAGAATCTGTTGAGAAGGTATGCAGGAATGTTTTGGAACGAATGGGGAACGCTTTCAGCATGTCCTGTAATGTGGGCAAGTAAATGTTACTGGATTCTCATTATCACTGCATCTGACCGGTCTGAATGGGAGCAACCAATACAGTGTTTACTGTGTTGTGCTCCAACATGGCACCCAGACATTACCACTGTGCTTTCTGCGTTTGCGTGCGTGTATAAACACTCGCACAAAAACTGACAGTCTTGTTAAAGATTTTCTTAATTCATAGGTTAATTTAAGAAGCTGTTTCAGCTAAAGATATTATGTAACACTGAAAGAGATATGGAATGATAATCATTAATGGTAAACAGGTGAAAATTTGGAAGCAAGCAGTTATGGACGGTTTGAAGGACTGTGTCATAAGTTTTGCCTGCAAAGGATAAGGGAAGTTACAAAGAAGATGAATCTGTATAACTTGTGACCCAGCCAAGATTCAGAATGGGTACCACCAGAATACAAGTTTCATCAGATATTACTGCTATACCAGGCAGCTCAGCACTTTGCATAAAGAGTCTGCATTTCCTCGACTTACTCATAATCACTCAGTACAGCAATTACCAATCTGTGTTCTCTTGCTGAAAGCTGAACCGGGGGCTATTTTCTGAGTAAAACTGACTGTACCAGTGGCGGTGTCTGCGAATGGATTGATCTTCTTTTACAAGGATGGGTTTGTCTACATATGACTTGTGATTCCATATCATAATGTCGCGTTCAACCTGTGGATGTAGAAGTATCACATAATCATTCATTAGTCCAAGACCAAGACATGACAGTCTCAAGAATCATCATTATGGGTTTCCCAAAAGAAGGGACAAAACTGAAGAAGGATACTCCAGTGGACTACACAATTCAAGATATTTTTATTTATTTTTGTAGATTTGCTCTTCTGTATGATCTTTATATTTAAAAATATTATATATATATATACACACACACACACAAAATACTTAAGGTGATTAAATCGGAAGAAATTCACACAATATGAAGTGTGTATGGGGAAATTAAGAAATGCTACAAATTACTTTGGAAAACCTAAAATGAGGAGATCATCAGGAAGATATAAACATATGAGAGAATATCAAAATAGATCTTATGGAAACATGCTATAAAGGTGGAGAATGAATTTAACTTGTTCAAGACAGGAGCCAATGTCAGACCAGAGTAATAAACTGTTTCATGGAATTAATTAATGTCATACGGACCACTCAAGGATTGAATTAATGTAGTGTCAATAAGAGTGTGGTATTTAACTTCTTGTACACCAGAGTCTGAGTCCTAAATCCAATTAATTTGCATGCATACATACAGTACTATGCTTTGTGCTTACCATTACAGATTCCCCATAGAGAATGAATTTGGCAAAGAGGGAGAGGGAAGGGGGGCAGTATATGCGGTGCTCCAACTTTTGCAGAAGGGGTTCAACTGGTGTCACAGTTTGAAGTATTATCACTACACCAAGCGAAGTAGTCAGGTAGAGTTCGACATAGGCCGGGCCAATCTGTAACATGCACCATTGAACATTCACAAATCCGTGGTTTTATTTTAGTATTACAAGGAGCATGAATGTCCTATCCGTGGCCATGGTAGAACCTGCCACAACGCATGCGCACAATTTCACTGACTTCCCCATCATTTTAAATAAGGGGACTACAAACTAAGACCTATCATGACGCATCACTCGGAAAGTCCGTGGGAATTCAAATTTTCTGTTTTCTGTGTTTTTTATATTCGTGGAAATTCCCAAGAACACAACCCCCGTAGACAATGAGAATCACCTGTATCTGAAATTAATTGCACCTCTATTCCATTTAATGGTACTAATACATACCTGCTTGACATGGACATCCATGACAATGAGAGGAAACTTGTCAAAGAGGCGAAACTCATGGTGCAGTTTCATGGTTGCTTGATGCTGGGCATCTGCACTGGGTTGCCAGCTGCCACTCCAAACATGGCGTGCAAATCTGTAAAAGAGCCTTTCCACATACCGCAGGTCGCTGCCAGCGAGCATGGACGCAGTGTGGAGAGCGTTCAGGTGTGCTAAGTCCCCTGCATTCTCTGGGATGTCCTGCACAGCAGACCACAGACCTGATAGTAAACTTATCTTCTTAGTCTACTTACTTACTTCTATCAAATTTTAAAGATTAACCTGGCCATAATATCAGAATCTCTAAGAAACAGACCCTGGACTAAACAGAAACATATTTTTATCAGAACATGTCTCTGGCCTGAGAATATAAAATGAAAACCAAAGTAAAATTATTCCTAATAAACAGAAGCCACTTAACATGGAAACAAACAGAAAAGTCTGCGTGGATATTCAGTGTCAAGCTCAGCCAGTTTAGTGACTACTGGGTTCACTTCCCAGCACAATGTCTTGACCAGCTCTAGTCCACCCAGTCTCCTAACCAATGGATACTGGGTTCTTCCCTTGGGGTTAAAGTGGCTGAGGCATGGACATAATCACTCACCTCAATCTAGTGGCAAGTTTAAGACTACATGGAGTTATGCTTCCACTCCCTCATATGTCTGCATGTCATGATGCCTTTTAAAAACTAGTAACAACTTACATTTACCTTTTTTCACCTCTGTTCTTGTAATTTTTTTGTACTGTGTCCTGAAATGTATCTGGGAAGGAACATTCTTCTCATACACACGAATGGGAAATAACGAAGCTTAGCAACCAATAAAATATGTGCAGAATACTTTAAAGGATTATTAGAACAAAGAAAAAAGGGGAAAATGTGAAAGAAAGAGACAGTAATACACACTTTTGTGCTTAGATCAAAAAGAATACGGTTTCCTGATATAGCCATTTCGGGTCACTGCAATTACAGTGCTCTTGAATGCTGACAAAGGGAGACTTTGAAATACAAGTAGTTGATATGATATCCTCAAGAGCTTTTTTTGGACACAGGTTAGTAGTTGTAAGACACAGAAAACTGAATACCTGAAAGTAAATAAAGAAAAACTCAATACAGATCTGCCATAAAGAACATTAAGAATGACAACGTTATTGCAAAAACTGATAGCTGATCAAAGAGCGACTTCACAGGGTTATATATATTTTGAAGTGATTCACTAAGTCTTCAATATGGATAATGCGTTATTTTACGGCTCATACAAGTTCTGAACATCACCTGAAACTGAGATATTCATTCTGTAGAATGAGTTTATTGTGTATATGTTTGAATCTTGTTCCTTCAACCATCATTCAACAGCTGTTTCCACGTCACCTACTACTCCAAGATATTTTCCCTGTAAACTTACTTTCTGACCGCCTTTCGCAGATAAAGAAGTACTGAGGTATGCACAGACCACATGCGACATGTTGTCGACTCACTCTAGGAATGTGTAATAGCAGCATTGTCGCAGGTCACGCATCTCGCAGTTGAAACAAATTGTTCCTTTCACTGTGTGCTGACTACATGAATTACTGCGAGTCCATGAATAATTTGCTATGACGCTAATAGTTTAAAATCCTATGTCTTACGTACTTCCTCTTCATGTACACTCATGTATTTATGAAAGAAGTTTATTTTCATTCATACATATACACCACATCATCAACTACTGTTCTCAGCACGATGGTCAAGTCCTTAGCATGACCTCGCACACAGGTGGGAAGATCTTTGTCTGTTGTATATTTCAAAATAGTACCGGATACAAGCATTTTGAACATTCATGAGATATTAAAAAGATGCAGGTAGCGTGATTATACGTAACTGTAATGTGTAATAATGCAAATGGATATCATTTGGTACTGTTACACCCATCTTGTTAATTAGTTAGCAAATGTACGCACATCTCGGATACGTGAACTCTGTTATTCGCGCTGGATTTTCATTCTGTTCATGCTAATATCTGACTCCTTTTTCTATCTGGCAAGCAAGGAACTTCAGCAAACAAACATTAGTCTCACATCATGATAACCAGTCGCTACATCAAAGAAAACACGACACATCGCCATTACAATGATCAATCGATTAATAACACTACATCAACAAAATTCTCATATGTGAAGTTATTCTTAAAACTGTCTGACCTGCATGAGAAGTGACATGGCTCGGCAATTTTTCGTCAACTCCTCAATAATACGTTTCATGAAAATATTTTCAACCGTTCTCCGATTTTTACATGTATGGCTGGACGGGCGGATCCATGAGCAATTTTAATATGCGCTCGTCCTTCCAATATTAATATGATTCCAAAGAATCCTTATGAATGTTGTGACTTACTGCACAATAAATTAAATAAACTACTTCCACTCGTATATCTTCACTGTTACATCCTTCCTACATTTCCACAGTAACTGGTTCGTCTCTCATACAAATTGGCACCTTCTATTTAGGCAACCCATCACACACCCAATGTATTTTAGTTGCAGATAAAATTTGCATGAAGCCAACATCCCTGCTGTCACTGGTTAGTGAATGCATTCTTTATGGATTTTATACTTCCAAGATTATTTTGCGGGAAATGGGTATAATTAACACATAATTTGGAACTGACGTCCAATAACCTTAAACTGTGAAATTTATGGACGGATGTCATTTAGATTTGATGTAAAGGAAATCTATATTAAAAGTTGGTAGGCAACTTCCATTTTGTTTCACAGATACAATTTGACCCTTATTTTAAAACATGCACAATGAAAGCAAAATTATAGACTTGTCAGTTTTGCCAAGAAAAAAAAAACAGTTCATTGTACATTGGTGCACTGATCGCTCCCCTACAAGTGGCATCCAGCGAGGGCAGGGACCCGCTGGTCCGGCCAAGGTTCTGCATTGACTGACTGGTTCCTGTATCTCAAAACAGATTCCTTGAGTGCGGATTACTCAACGCCCTGATGATGGACGCAACAAGTACCTTTGAAACGTCATAAAACTTCTACCACACAACACGGCACTACATCAGAAAAGACAGTTACCTTCGAATCCCACTACAGATATCAGATTTCAGATTTATAACTTACTTTACCTTGTACGTCTTTAGAAAAGTTTCTAATTGCAGTTGAGATATTAATACGTCATGCCGGCGCAGTGGCCACGCTGTCTGAGGCATGGACCTCGTGCGCCTGGCCGCTACGACCGTGGGTTCGAGTCCCACTCAAGGCATGGATGTTTGTCCGTGTCTTTCTGTGTTTGTATAGGTAGACGCCTTGCGTCGGGCTGATCACTCACCAAGGAATCCTACCATTGTCCAAAAAATAGATCAATCATAAAACCTCCAAGAGAGGTAAAAACGCAGACCCTGCAAAGGTGGGACAAATGAACGAAGGAAAAAATACTGTATACGTCATATTCAATTATTGTGTGAGATGGAAATTCGATAAATGTAATTTTAAATTTACTACTATACTGGATCGATAGAAGGCATGATCTCCCTTACCAGTACAAATGTTTACACATCTCGGCTCACCCATTTCGAAGAATAAACACGCGGAAAGACAGATGGATGGACATTACGTCAAATTCAGGAAGCAAAATAACTAATATCGACATTGGCCACTTCATTTTTAATAAAACCACCTTTTTTAAAAAAAAATTCGCTGAGCACAGAACGCATAATAAACTGCAGACAGAAAATATTCCAACCAACGAAAAAGACTCACATTGATAAATATGAGGGATGTTACGCAACACGCTCTACGTGGCAAATATTCTACGTCTCTGTAACAGATTATGTTGTAATAGTCGACCGGAACTACAGCTGAGATTTCTTACAACTACAGCAAAAATCTCGTCGCATTTGACAAAACGTGATGCGACACGGTGACATCTGTAGAGGAGACCCATACGACCTCCGCGTCTACAAGATGAAATATGGCGAGGCCACTAATGTGACGTATGCCCTTGTGACTACCTGCGCCCCATCCGTCAGTCTGTCTACCACGCAACACGCACACACCTGACCGGTCTCTCTCATCAGGTAACTACGGTAATAAATTGAAATGGAAACGGGCTCCCCGATTGTAAGCTAAACGTTTTACGACTAGTGCGATGTCATTTGTTGACGCATTTATAGGCCTCTAGGATTTCCAAATAAGTTCTTCGTGATTTTGACGGGTAGCCTACCGCATTGGCCTTGATTCTAGTATGGCGTTACACACCATGATTTATTACATTTCATTTATTTATTTGTTTACGAACGCAGACTGGCGGAAGAGTTGGACACTACTTCCAAATGGGAACTACTTTAACGCGTTACGTTAGCGACATAACTGCACTCTATCGGTCACGTCCCCTATGCTTTATCTCTGAAACTACTGAAGGAATTTTTATTAAAAGTCGTACTCAGGGAACCAAACTAAACACGGTAACTGTACAATCTCACTGTTGCTATATTAATCATACTGCACAGTCTGAATGTTCAAAATATTATCAAATGGGGCACTGGGATTTTAATGCACCTGTACTTTAAGTCGCTACAGCAAGTTGCGTCCTACACTTTGGATGGAGGAGAAGGCCACCAAATATAAAGGATTTATTGCGAATATACTGAATAAGCAGTCGCGAACAGCCGACAAGGGGTGGTCCTCCAGGCTGGGAGCTAACAGATCCTCATTGTTACTAAAATGATATACAAGACCTTGAACTTAGAAAATTACATAATGGGATGCCCCATAATGTGTACTCTTCACTAAATATTATTAAGCCTAGAATGATACAACAGAATGGGTTGGGTGAGCACGCAGTACATACGAGTGAGATGAGAAATGTACACAACATTTTGGTTGGAGGAGACCTCTCAAAAGATCTAGGTGAAAATTACAAAAAAAAAATGTTTAAACAAATTCTTGGGAAACAAGGTGGGAGGATGTGGAACAGTTCCATCTATTTCGGGAAGAATCTTCGGGTTTGATGAAAGGTAAGGAATGTATTGGAAACTGCAAGGAAGAATATTTTTTTTTATTTAGTGTTCTGTCTGACGACAGGTCCATATGAACAGGATCCTTCCATCCTTTTCTCGGACTGGGACCTGTTCATATACGTTCTTGGCAGATGATCCAGAAGTGATTTGCCATTGCCTTCTTCTGTGTGTAAATGGAGTAATTGTTGGGATGCCACAGAGATGAGCTGCTGATGTTAGGGAATCTGAAATGCGGATGGTAATTGTCACTGTCCGGCGTCGAATTTGCGTTTTTCAGGCACATTTTAGTCGGGTCTGGCTAGTCTCGATGTTTCTAGTGACGTATCAGATCATTTTACATTGAACCTAGCTGGTTAGAATAGTGATAATGTGTTTGAAGTCTTTCGTGGTTGTCCTCAGGCCATCCAGGCGAGTTTCGCAGCTTACTGCACAGAAATTGCATGCCTGTACAGACACTTCGTGGCAGATTTTAAATTTTTATTTTTATATCCTCTAATTAATGCTGTGCTCGTATAGGCCTTTTTCTCGTAATTTAATTTGTCGAAGTTACTAATTGGTAACGTTTGAGATAAATTTAACTTAGGGTATCTTATTGTTTGTTTTAAAGTGATAAAAACCTGGCGAACTCTTTTTGGGCAGAACAATGGACCAATGTAATAATAATAATAATAGCATTAGTAATTATAAGAAATTACATGAAATATTACTTCTGTATTATATTTTTTTATTTAGTGTTCTGTTTGACGACAGGTCCATATGAACAGGATCCTTCCTTCCTTTTCTCGGACTGGGACCTGTTCATATACTTTCTTGGCAGATGATCCAGAAGTGGTTTGGCATTGCCTTCTTCTGTGTGTGAATGGGGTAATTGTTGGGATGCCACGGAGAAACCGGGGAAGCCCCCGGAGGAAAACTCCGTGTTGCCTAGAGCACGGCCTTGCCCAACACAAGTTATAAATTCGGGCACCGCCGGGAATCGAACCCGAGACCCCCAGGATTACAAGGCCAGCGTTCTAATCGCTAGACCACCTCATCTTATTATTTAGTGTTCTGTCTGATGACAGGTCCATATGAACAGGATCCTTTCATCCTTTTCTCGGACTGGGACCTGTTCATATACGTTCTTGGCAGATGATCCAGAAGTGGTTTGCCATTGCCTTCTTCTGTGTGTGAATGGAGTAATTGTTGGAATGCCACGGAGAAACCGGGGAAGCCCCGGAGGAAAACTCCGTGTTGCCTAGACCACAGCCTTGCCCAACACAAGTTATAAATTCGGGCACCGCCGGGAATCGAACCCGAGATCCCAGGATTACAAGGCCAGCGTTCTAACCGCTAGGAAGAATAAGGAGAAGTAAAATATGAGGTAACTTTTTCTTGACAGAATCGATGACATATTACAACCCAAATGGCAGTCCATAAGTCTGCGCTAAATAAATAAATAAAAAACTTATGTGTAAAGTATGTCAATGCATATGAAGGATGCCACATTAATAACTGCCAGAAAGGAATGAGGTCTGTGAAACACCAGCACGTAAATTTAATATGCAGGCGATGGCACAAATTTAACAACTGGTAAAAGAAACCAAAGTGCTCCCCCCAAGTTCAAATTTGTTTTCATTTTCAACTCCCCCATTGCCCCTTACCTGAATGTGTGAGTTGACAACAAACTCGTTGCGCCCCCTATACCAAAACTGTCCGTTCTGAATCTCGGGAATGGAGGAGACATGCCAGGTGGGCTCCTCTCCCTCAGCATGGTACCACACGAAGATGATGTTACTCTTCTCACAAGACGGCCACGTCTTCGCTCGTACAAAGTCTGGTACTGGAATTTAACAATAAGACAACTGTGGGGTTCTGTGGCAGAGAAAGACAACCTTATCCCCTCTCGCAAGATGGGGATGCCAGAAAATCTGGCCATTATTTGGATTTCCAGAGTACAGGCTGACAGACAGAGCAAAAGGGACAGCTGCCACGAGTGCGGATAATACAGACTACGTGGAGGCAAGATATTCCTCTGAAACTTATACAAGACAACTTCATTTTCTTCTATGGCTCTCCGGTCCGTATTCGGTCCATGGCCTCCTCAATTATCCTCTTCCATTCGGTCCTCTGTTAGCTTTGATTGAGGTTTCGAAACATCTTCCTTTTTACGGTGCAAGGTTGTTAGCCTTGCGACCAACCCCCCGACCTGGAGGACCAGGGTACCTCTCCCCCTCGACCAATCTGGCTAGGGAGGCCCTACCAGTAGCTCTTGGGGTCACTGAGGTACTCGAGCCCCACCACCACGCCAAGGTGCAGGTATAAGACAACACAATGTGGAAATAAAAGAGATAATATAATATGACAAGCCTGAGTCCAGGTCTTCCTAGTGGTCTCTTTCCTTCTGGTTTTCCCACAAAAATCCTCTTTCCTCCCATGCTGGCTACATGCCCTGCCCATCTCATCCTCCTAGACTTGATGAGTCTAATTATATTTGGCAAGGAGTACAACTTATGAAGCTCCTCATTATGCAACTTTCTCCAGCCTCCTCAGCCCCCAGGTTCTCAAACACCCTCGGTCTACATTCCTCCCTTACCGTCAGAGACCAAGATCCGTATGGAACTACGGGCAAAATTATAATTTTGTTTTTAGACTGCAGATGAAAAGACAAGAGGCCCTGAACTGAATGGTCGCAAGCATTACTCAAATTTCGTCTGCTCTTAATTTCATAATGACTCAAATTTTGATTTGTTACTGTTGCCCCAAAATACCTGAACTTCACCACATTCTCAGAGGATCCATTCCGACACAGAAAGACGCCTAATATTTTACACATAATAACATGTCCTTACGGCTATGCGGGGTATCAATCCTATAATTCCCATGTCACAAGATCAACAATTCTACCTTTTTCACTGTAAGGGATGGAGGAACACTTTCCGTCTTCGCCTCTGAATCGCCATAAGTGGAACGGACACTCCAGACAGTCACCGCGAACGGTACCACCTACGGCCATATTGGCTCCTAGATGTGGACAGTACGCATCAAGGATGTGTACGATGCCCTCGCGTGTCCGGAACACTGCAAAGTTCTCACCTGGATGTGTTCAGAAAAATACAGACAACCATCTAAAGAAATGCAACAAAACTCCATCCATCAACCATTCATATTATCAACTACCCAGTCACCAAATCAATAAAGTAATAAATGAAATGACAAATCAGTGAACCAAATAAATGACCAATATATCCTGATCTATCAATGAATCTAATCTGTAAAACAATACAAGTGAACTAAATGATCATGCGACCAGTCATTCACCCAAACCAGCAGCTATTATTATTATTATTATTATTATTTAGTGTTCTGTCTGACGACAGGTCCATATGAACAGGATCCTTCCATCCTTTTCTCGGACTGGGACCTGTTCATATACGTTCTTGGCAGATGATCCAGAAGTGGTTTGCCATTGACTTCTTCTGTGTGCGAATGGAGTAATTGTTGGGATGCCACGAAGGAAAACTCCGTGTTGCCTAGACCAAGGCCTTGCCCAACACAAGTTATAAATTCGGGCACCACCGGGAATCGAACCCGAGACCCCAGGATTACAAGGCCAACCAGCGGTCTAACCGCTAGACCACCGTGTCCGCTAATCCACCGTGGCTACGTAACCAGCAGCTAATAAAACAAAAAAAATCAGTTCAACGAACACGTCAATGCACTTAAAATCAATTTTTAACCCCTTCTTACCCAGTGCAGAGACATGTTTCACTTCCCCTGGAGCCAGCTCTGAAGAATTCAGCAGGCAAAACCAGCCATTGGGGTACACAGGAGGCAGACTGCCAACCTTCCTCAACCTCCGCATCTCTCGCACCAGATCACACTTTCTCCTGCCTTTTCGTAGTGCCATCCTCCGGGCGCTGCCTTCCAGCAGGTGGCCATACCCCACATCACTCAAGTCCTGCGACAAGCACTCCCCCAGTAAACAACACAAATTGACATTGAAATCTTAAAATTTGCACCACCACTAAAATTTTTCATTATTAAATCCAACTATACGCCAAAAATTGTTTCAAACTATAAGCCATAAAAGGGTTAAACTTAGCAAGTGAGCTGTTGCACAGAAGAAACCTCTGCCCCTCATCAGCACTCTACAAACTTTATTTTAAAAACTGTAAAGAACCACTTTGCAGCAAATCATGTGCACCTCCCCTACTTTTCTTCAATCTACATTTACAAATATAAAAAAGTATCTTTTAGTTTAAATATTTACACATAGTTAAATAAATTTTGGATCAAACGGTAGGATATATTATATTTTAATTTATTTCAAATAATGAATATATTTAAAATAAATGACATAATAATAAAGATGGATAATTACAAACATGAAACGAACATTTTTCTGTTGGGGTCGATTTATAAGAAGTTTTCGCGGCCAATCAATGCCATAAACCATCGACCTCCCTCCCTCCACGATATTCAAAACGGGGTTGGTGTGCCGGCATTGACTCTTCGACAATATTTGGTGTGCCGTGATTGTAGAAACACTGATCCAGACAGCCAACTGACAACCAAAATTTATTTTGGCTGCCAAATTTTGCTTATTAAACATCTCGTTCATGCTCGTGAGGTTCTTTTACATGTCGTAAATCTTCGTCATGGGACCTCCAGCTTTACTTCTCCTCCGGAGGAAATTGTGCTACGGATTTCTATCACCCTTAAAAATCTATCGACCTCGGCCGGGTTTGAACCCGCGAACCTTGGGTCCAGGGGGGGCGAGCACGCCAACCATTAATCCACCGACGTCCACTGCTAATTCCATAGCAGGTTATATACTCCTGTTTGAGCAGAAACCTCTACTCAGTCTGAAGACTCACAGAGCACCAAACGTCTTTAATTACGAGTAAAATAAATGTCGTGACTGCTGAAATCCCCTTAAATCCTCGTCAGACATAACACAACACCCGCCTACTTACAGTAACTTGAATGAAATGGCCACATACAAGCTATTCTAGAAAAATGGCTCACTTTAACGTAATCCATCGGTAGAACGACGTAGTAGTAAGTGAGTACCAGCAGAACGGTCACGAACAGTGTCTGCAGCCAGGTGTAAAATTGTACTGTCACCAATCTGTTGGCAAAGTTGAGGACGCAGGGCGACAACAAATCCAGATCGAGGGTCTGACCAAGCCACAAAGCGCTGTACAGACTGATGTTCGCATTGCTACTGTCCATTTCTGCAAACAAATTACACGTAAGCATGATCTGTAACTGGATAATTATCATCTATACAACATTTCTGTCAAATAAAGGAGACGCCTTAAGTGTTCAAGTGGCGTGAACAAGAGAAGTGTACGAAACGAAAAAGTCGTACATAATTTTAATTGCAAACATCACTCTTAAAGTCCACGTCGGTCACCGATGCACTGTTGGGGGAATGATATGAAAAAATAATATTAAAAAAAAAAGTTTGTGGAGCCGTGGACTGGGTTTGACAGGTGATGGTAACCACCTACAAGATCTCATGACGTCATCATCCAGAAAACCACACTCATCTCAGACAGTTTTACTCCCTTTGAGAGAGTTGAACAGAAAGATTTTGCGTTTTCTAACCCAACAAAACCATAAATTCAGAAGTTCGCCGAATAAACGGATGCCTTAAATAAAAATGTCCACATCTCGTCAACAGAAAACGAGTTGTCTTTCACCACGACAACGCCCGTCCCCTTGTCAGCTGAAAAATAAAGGAACTGAATTGAGAAATTCTGGACCACCCGCCATATTCACCGGACTTGGTACCATCCGATCACCATTTATTCTAATCACTGCAAAACCATTTAAATACCAACAAATTTAAAACATTTGAATAGGTCAACGATGGTATTTTATGGCATATTTTGAATCAAAATCAAAAAGTTTTTACAAAACTGGAATTGATAAGCTTGTGACACATTGGGAGACGGTAATAACAAGCAATAGAAATTATTTCATTTATTAAATATTGTAAATATATTTTTCAAAAAAATTATTACGACTTTTCATTTGCAAAACGCAAACATTTTCCGTCCAACCCAATATAATTCAGCCAAGCACAGAAACAATAACACAGGACAAAAAAAATCTACGATTTGCGTACGAGATCAAGAAATAACATTAGCAGCAAAAACACATCTGGCTGAGACACTGGTTTTGAAAGTGTCATTTACCATAAACGCAGAGTAGTCCTAGTTCAGGTTACATACACCGACAGTAACAAATCTTGACAAACAAACAAACAAACAAATAATAATATAATATATAACGGCATAAACTTACTGTATTTTCGTGTTCGATCATCAGTTTGAAACAGGAACACGGAAGGGTCACCGCAAGGGAGACAGGAAAAAATATTACCTACAATCTCAAACTACTCGATACACTGCCTGCCTTACAACGTATACAACGCTAACATGCATAACAGAATGTACTAGAAAAGGACAAGGATATACGAGAGAAATCTCACTCTTTATAACATAACTCGTATATCACTGCAAACTTCAGTTCCTGTTCCGTCTGATTATACTTACAACGTTTCAGAAATCGCTTTGCTTGTGACGGTCGTATCTGCCGATATTTAAAAATTTCAAGGAAATGTGTTGCAAGCGAAATATGTTATCTTTTTCGTAAAAGAAAGAACTCTCTTTACAAGTTAAGGCAGCTTATCGTATATGTTCGATAGCTTCGTCATTGTCTCATCCCGCAACTTTGACATCAGTTACATTGGTATTACCAAGTACGGGGAATTATTTTTTATCAGTCTCAAATGGTATAACGTCCACAATAAATGTAATAAAAATCCATCCAGCCGTTCTCGATTTAGTACATTCATACAGACGGACATCACCAGAGATGTACTAAATCAAGCAGGAATCATCATCCGGGCCGATGACGCCATTACGCATGCGTAGATCATGAGTAATGTCATCATTACCCAAGCCCACATATTTCAGCATCAATGTGTACTCAAGAAGTAATGAGCATTGACAGAAAATCACGGCTAATGGCGTCAACATGATCCCACGTAGCGTGTCTGAGAAGTTAAAAAGTATATTATTATTATTATTTATTTGACTGCAAATGGGTTTTTACCCGGTGGCAGTGGTCCTACAATAACACACAAAACAATAAGAAACAACAGAACAATGAGACAGAACAAAACAGTAAGACACAAAAAAACATAAGACAACAAAAACAATGAGACACAACAAAACATAAGACAACAAAAACAATAAGAAACAACAGAACAATGAGACAGAACAAAACAGTAAGACACAAAAAAACATAAGACAACAAAAACAATGAGACACAACAAAACATAAGACAACAAAAACAATAAGAAACAACAGAACAATGAGACAGAACAAAACAATAAGACACAAAAAACATAAGGCACAACAGGAACAATAAGACACAACAAAAACAATGAGACACAAAAAACATAAGGCACAATGGCATAACGTCCTTATGAAATGTCGCAATTTGTTTTCAGCCACTCTCTAGTCATTAAATACAAACATAAGGGTATCACTTGTGCGAAGAGGTTAGGCTAAGCTAGGGTAGGGTCGAGTGAGTTAGGTCAGATTACCTTAGTAACGCACTCTCGCGAAGGATAACGGGTAAAGGTGGCATCATTCAACCGCAAGATTTCAAGCAACCCTCGTGTTGGTATTGTCGTGTGTAGCAAATTAAAAAGAATACATATCTGGCACAACGTCCACACCAAATTTCATTAAAATTCTTACAAGAGTGGACCTGGGTGGGTCCTAAAGAGGTCTTGGAGAAGATCTCGAGAGGTTCTGTAGTGGTCACAGATTCCTGGAATGATTCTGTATAGAGGAACTGGAGTTGCACAGGTAACGTGAATATGTGCTGGAGTGGTCCTGGGAAAGTACTGGCATAGTCCTCGAGAGGACCTGGAATAGTAATAGATTCCAGGAGTTTTTCTGGAGAAGTACTGGAGTGGGCCTGGAGATCAGGGAGTGGTGCTGTAGTGGTCCTGGTGAGATTCTGTTTAGCCATATATTCCTTGAGTGTTTCTGGAGAAGTACTGGAGTGGGCTTCGAGATCAGGGAGTGGTGCTGGAGTGGTCCTACGGTGGTCCTTTAGTGGTCCTGGTGAGACTCTGTTTTAGCCATATATTCCTTGAGTGTTTCTGGAGAAGTACTGGAGTTATCTTGTAGTGGTGTTGGAGTGGTCATGGAGGGATCCTGGGGTTGTCGTGAAGTGGTCCTGGGAAAACCTAAGTGTGTCCTGGGGTGGTCTTGGAGTGGCCAGGAAAGTTCTGACCAGATTTCGTGGGTTGTTCCTGAGTGGTTCTGGAGTTGTCCTAGGGTGGTCCTGGTGTTGTGTTTTAAATGGTCATCTAGTGATCCTAGAGAGTTGCTGGAGAGGACCTGGACAAGTCCTGGAGTGTTCTTTGAATGATTCTCGGGTGGTTCGGGAGAGGTACAAAAGTAGTCGTGTAGCTCTGGAGTGGTTTTTGAGAAATATTGGATTGATTCAGAAGAAGTCTTTAGTGACCCTGAAATGGTGCTTGAGAGTTCCATGAACAGATACAAAGTACAATGTTGTAACGAAAGCTTAATTCAATCAATATCGTCACCTACCGCTGAAATAATTACAAATTAAAACTTCAAATACCCAAACTCCATCACGCACGGCCGCTGTCTTTTAAAGTAATAATTTTACTGCATTATACTCCATCAACATTATCACCATCGATCAGTGAAACCGGAAATTCGCTTTATATCGATAAACTTAAAATACGTCACCCAATCACACAGTCGAACTACCCCTCCTCTAGGACATTCATTTCCCCAGATCTAACGATTAAGCTATCAAGTTAAAACATCCGTGACTACTGATTTTACCGCTGTTTCCATGTTGATCTTCGCTTCATGATTTCTTATCAGCTCCGTCTTCCTTCTTCTACTTCTAATAACATGAAAGTGCATTTGCGGTACGGACTGCGCCCCACAGTTTGAAAACCAGTGATGGAAGGGGAGTGGGAGGTCCAAAAGGTCAGTGCGCTGAACGGCCGCAGAAGGGGTCAGGATCCTCACCAGCACACACACTCCTTGTTATGCAGCGTTATTCAAACAGACGACACGACGCACCATAACAAGGCGACCATAAAGGACTTTCCCGTGACGCACATGACTCTGGAAGCCTAGTCAAGACTGCATAACCACTTCGAGTGTTACAACCGAGCATCGCGGAAGAATGCCGACCACTTCTACCTCGTATTTCGGATGTTCCTGGTTCAAATCTCGGTCTGAAAACCGGTTGCCTTGACTGAGCTCTTTTGTGATTTTATTCAGTCCCTCCAGTTCTAAGACAGCTTCTAATTCATTAATCACTCTAGCATTCGATGCTACATAGGCCCAGTATGAGCTGTGGACAGCGTCGTTAAATGTATCATGATTGAAATGCCACTGGTAATGAATACGTTTCGTTACTTTCGAGTTTGCTTTAAAATTTTATTTCAACTCTTTTAATTGCTAATAGTTTTGAACAAACAAATAATGACATCGATATAAACACAGTAACGAGTAAATAAATAACTGAATCAATTACAAAGAGAAATTAAGTACGTCGTGGCGGGATATTTCACAGAGTCTCGATATGATAAAGTTCTCTCGGGCTACCAGCCGTGTCAATAGGTTAAAAGGCGAGAAAAGCAATATTTTGAGAGCCATCTCTGTCCTCGTCCTGATACGGCTGGTAGCCCGAGAGAACCTGAACACAGGAAACTGCTTTGCTTCCAAAATACTCGTAATTACATGAGCAGTTGCATGTTGTTATAAACCCGAGTGCACACAATAATTATCACAGCAGACCGCCACTGGACCACACCATCAATTAGCCGAATTTAGACGTCTCCATAACATACGTCTCTGATATCACCATATTAAAAAATACCTTTTATTAAAAGTATCAATTTTTTAATAAACTTCATTTCAACACCCGGAGAAAAACTACAATTTTAATTGGACCAATACTAACATAAATTACATTCGCCCGACAATATTTAGAGCAGAAGAATCCCAGTTATGTACCGTCTTGACCCGTTCAGTACTCTGGGAGATAATCTAGAACATGCAAAAGAATAAGTAAAGAGCGTAGGAATTCCATTAAAAGTAAAAGAAAGAAATGTTAAGCGGTCCACTTCGTTGAGCAAGTGGTCGCTGCTTCCACA